GTGTGGCGGATTATACCATACTTTGGGCGTCGCCATTTCAAGTGTGGTAGCTGAACCTACAAAGGTGGAAGAGTCGATCCTTACCTTCCCTTGGCTCATTGGCGAGGCAAATTGATAAGCCCAGGGTCAGAGACAGTTTTGTTTTACCTTGCATGCACCAATGCTATTAGCAAGTTGTGTAACCTTGGACTTAATTCAACCTTTGGGTATACCTAGCCCTGTCAATTAGTTTTAATTCTCAAAGGGGACTGGAGAGAGACCATTTCCATTTATAGAGAAGTATTACCTAGAAACCGTTACAATCAAGGTGTCCACTAACTTGCATAGGCTACCTCTTAAATGCCCAACCCAGTGCTAAGAACTCCTCCCCACACCAGGGATTGAACTCAGGACCTTGTGCTTGCAAGGCAGTTGTGGCGCCACTAAGCTAAACCCACCCCCACCCCCCATTATTTGGATTTTTGAACAGGCTGTAGTCATATAGTTCAGGTTAGTTCTGAACTTATTATGTAGCCCAGGCTGGCTTTGAACTGAGGTGATCCTCCTCCCTCAGCTTCCCCAAGTACTGGAATTATAGGCATGCGCCACCATGCCCAGCTAAAGCTTTAGCATTTCTCCTTAAACTTTGTGATGTAGATACCCATATCACCTCCATTTCAGAGATGAGAAAACACACTTGGGTGATATGACTCACCCAGAGTTCTATAGGGAGTTGATATAATCAGGATCAGAAATTATATACCCATAGGGCTGGGGATGTAGCTCAGTGGCACAGCACCTGCCTGGCAAGCACAAGGCCCTGAGTTTGATTTCCAGTACAAAACAACAACAACAACAACAACAACAACAACAAAACAAAGTATTTTTTTTAAACCCCAGAAATTATACATCCTGCAGCTCAGTGTAGCACACACCTGCATTCTAGCATTGCTGAGGCTGAAGCAGGAGGATCACCAGTTCAATGTCAGCCTGAGCTATATAGTGAGTTCAAGGCCAGCCTGAACTACATGGCCAGACCCTGTCTTAAGCAAACAAACATAAAAAGAAAGAAATTATAAGTCCTTCAGACCCTAACCTCTCCCTTCCCATGCATTCAGGAGATCAATATTAGGACAATAATAATGGATCAGTGCTGTCCTATAGAAATATAATGATACACACACAATATAATTGAAAAATTTTCTAGTAGTAATTGTAAAAAAAGAAACCAAGGGGGCTGGGATGTAGCTCATTGGTAGAGTGTTGACCTGGCACGTGCAAGGCCCAGAGTTTGATCACTCGCACCCAGGAAAAAAGAGAAAAATAAAGAGGAAACTGATGGAAGTTTTTTTGTTTGGTTTTGTTTTGTTTTTGTTACAGGGTCTCACTATGTAGCTCAGGCTGGCCTGGAACTCATGGCAATCCTCCTGCATCAGCCTCCCAAGTGCTGGGATCACAGGCATGCGCCACCACACCTGGCTAAGAACAGATGGAATTTACTTAACCTAGTATGTCCAAATTATTTTCCAATCCTTAATATAGAGTTTATTAAAGAGATATTTTGCACCCTTTGTTTTCCTATAAGTCTTCAAAAATCAAATGTTTTTATTTTTTAGCTTTTTTGAGACAGGGTCTCACTATGTAGTTCAGGATGTCCTTGAACTCACTATGTAGCACAAGATGGTCTTGAACTTGCAGCAATCCTCCTGCCTCCACCTCCTGAATGATGGGATGACAGGTGAGCACTGTCATGCCTGGCCCTAATACATATTTTAACTTACAAAGGCTGAGAATGTGCCTCAGGGAAAGAACACTTGCCTAACATGCACAGAGCCCTGGGTTCAATCTCTAGCATTGAAGAAAAAAAAAGTTTTAATTTACAGTACAACACATTTGTCACATTTCAAAAGACCAATAGTAACACATGGGCAATAACAAGTATACCAGAAACAAACTAACACAAAAACATTTTGAGGGCCGGAATTTTAGCTCGGTGGTGCAGCCACCTGCCTTGTAAGTGCAAGGTCCTGAGTTTGATGCCCAGTACCAAAAACAAAACAAAACAAAACAAAAAAAACCCACAATTTTTTTGAATATTGTTATTTTGTGGTATTGGTGATTGAATTCAGAGTTATTGTGTTGAACTACACACCTGGCCATTTTTTTAAAACTTTCTATTAACTATTTATTTTTGAGTCATGCTTTGTAGTTCAGGGTAGCCTTAAATTCACTATGTAGCCCAAGCTTACCTCAAATTTTCAGAGATCCTCCTTCCTCAGCCTCCTGAGTGCTGGGATTACTAGCATATGCCACCACACCTGGTTATTTTTTTTTTTTTTCCTCAGTACCTGGGATTGAACTCAGGCCCTCCTTGCACTTTTGAGGCAGTTGTGATACCACTGAGCTAAATCCCCAGTCCTGGATTATTTTTATTTTATTTTTAAAAATTCATTAATTTTATTGGTATATTTTAGATATACAATATGCTGACATTCATTATTGGGAATTTGTGCCTTTACATAACATATATTGGTTCTTATTCTTGGGGTTGCTTTTATTTGGGAACAGTGTCTCACTAAGTTGCTAAATTCCCTAGCCTGAGATAGAACTTGCAGTCCTCCTGCCTCTAGCTCCCAGAGTGCTGGAATTACTGCTGTACATCATCGGGCTTGGCTTTGCTCTGTGTTTCGTTTCGTTTTGTTTTGTTTGGTACCGGGGATCGAACTCGGGTCCTTGCACTTGCAAGGCAGGCGGCAGAACCACTGAGCTAAATCCCCGGTGGCTTTGCTTTGTTTTTGATGTAGTGCTGGGGTTTAAATCCAGGAATGCTAAGTATGCTCTTTAGCAATGAGCTACGTCCCCAGCTCGGAAACAGGTAATTTCTAATCTCAGATCTGCCTTTTATTTCACTCAAACCAATCATGTAATCTTTTTTTTTTTTTTTTTTTTTTTTTTTTTTTTTTTGGTATGGGGGATTAAACTCGGGTCCTTGCACTTGCAAGGCAGGCCACCGAACTGCTGAGCTAAATCCCAGCCCTCATGTAATCTTTTTTTGCCTTAGTTTGTTTACTCCAGTGGGGATAGGATGTGAGTCAGGTGAGAAGGAAGGTGTAAGGTGCACACAGATATATACACTACTTGCTAGTACTAATGTGGACCACATGTCAACCACTCATCTCTTCCTTAGATGTGGCCTCACAGGTGCTAAGTGTGCCCTTTACCACTGAGCTACACCCCAGCCGTGAACACACATACTCATTCAATATCACAACTATTATCATTTAAGCCTATAAACCCAAAGGCCAGTAATACATCTGAGTCTGACCCTACAGTGAAGTCCTGAATTTTAGCTCAGTGGTACCACGGCCTGCCTTGCAAGATTGAAGTCCAGAGTTCAATCCCCGGTACCAAAAACAAAAAAAGGCACTTTCCTAATTGCTGGTTAATTCCCGAAGAGTCCTTTTTTCCTATCATCACACAGCAGTTTGTTTGTTTGTTTTTAGACCGGGAATCAAACTTTTAAAGCAGGCTCAGTGCCACTGAGATAAATTCCAGACCATACAGCTAGTAGTTTTGTCATGCTTGGTGGCAACTGTAGGTGGAGACAGTGAGGTGAGGTGAGCCACTCAGAAGTGTCCACCCTCACTGCCGTTCTAGGGATCTTCCTGAGGTGGCCCAGGCTGGATATGCTAAATACTGCACATTGGGGTGAGGGGCAGAGCCTGGACTTCCCAAGACTGATATTTCTCGCCTTTTTGAGGCGAGGGGCACCCTTCCTGTCCTTGGCCCAAATTCTCTCCTTCCCCAGGCTACCCAGGTCTGGTGTTTTATCTGTGAAGTTTGGAAAAGCACTGTTGTCTTTGCTCCTTCTGGCTACAGTGGGCCAGGGAGGTCGGTCATGAGCATCTGGCTTCAGAAGACTGTAGATCCAGGGATCCAGTTCATCTCCCTAGGGCCCTATCTCAACAACCATCTGTGACTTTTTCTTTCCTCTCCAAACGGAACCCCCTGCCCTCTGCTTATAGCCGTTTAATTGCAAAAGTCAGGCCGTTTGCCGCAGACCACAAGGCAGGGACCCCCTTTCCCTTACCAGCACAGGAGAGTAAAAATAAGCCCTTAGCTAGGCAAAGGACCCCAGGAGCTAAAGACTATTACTGGGCTTCCTCCCCTCTAACCCCGGCCAGCCGTGTCATCGGGGCTTGGTGGTGCACACCTGTTATCACAGCACTCGGTGGTAGGATGAGGCAGGAGGATTGCCCCGAGTTCGGGCCAGCCTGGGCTACACAGTGAGTTCTAGGTCAGCCAGAATGACAGGCTACAAGAAACTGTCTTAAAACAAAACAGAACAGCTTTCCTCTTGTAACATTGGGTCAGGGTCGTCGGTCCTGGTCTCTCAGAAGCTCTGGGGATTTCATGGAGTTGCCCCAGGGCACACAGCAAGCAGACAAGCTTCTCCCGCACCAGAGGGCAGGAGGAGGAAGCTGCACCGGCTTGCAAGTCTTCAGGGGCCTTAGGGTCCCAGCCCAAGGTCTAGGGCCTTTGGATGGAAACAGATCAGGTCCCTAAATGCAGGGCAGACAGTGGCTAGGAAGGTCCTGCTCACCCCTCCACGCAGAGGGGATGCTAGGAGCCAAAGTGAGAATTGGGTTTTGGTCCTGAGCGGTGACACTGGTGCTCGCGCGGGCTCTTTAAACGCCCAGATGGGGAGCAACTCCCGCGCGGAGGAGGAAGACTAGGCAGGGCTGAGTTCTGGTCACATGACCTGGCCTGAGAAGCTCGCGGCCCCCCACTCCACCGGTGGGCGTCCCCTACAACGCGTGGTTGACTTTCATTGGCCGGAAGTGTGGCCAATAGAAATCGGCCATCTGGGATCTCAGCGTTCTGAGGCACAGCCTAACTTGCTGAGCTAACAAAAATCCAATGGAAAAGGAGATTTGTGACAGAAAACCAATGAAAAGGCGTGAGAGGCGGGCCAAAGGGCCCAACTATGTTAGGGTGAGACGCAGGCTGATATAAAACTGCGCAGCCGGCGGCGGCGTCCGTCCGTACTGCAGAGCCGCTGCCCCAGAGTCGTTTTAAAGGGCCCGCGCGCCGCCGCCCCCTCGGCCCGCCATGCTGCTACCCGTGCCGCTGCTGCTCGGTCTCCTTGGCTTGGCCGCCGCTGAGCCCGCTGTGTACTTCAAGGAGCAGTTTTTGGACGGAGGTAACGTCTGGTCCCGCCTCGAGGCTGCCTCGGCGATGCGGGCACCACCACCACCACCCCGCCGTCCAGATCTGCCCTGTCCCTTGTAATTACCGTTCAGAGGGCCAACACCCGGGACTCTGGGGACCTGGAGCCGCGGGCGATTCCTCTTCTGCGTCCCTGGGGAGTGCGGAGGCACAGCGACCTCCTGCCTGGGAGTTGGCGTTTCCCCGAGTGTTTCAAATCTCCCAGGTGTCAGCACAGGCAGGGTGGGGGGTCGGGGGTCTCTAGCTGCTCCCGCGGCTTATCGAGGTTCCCAGCTCACCTGCTCTTCTGACTCTAGACTCCTGGACCAACCGCTGGATCGAATCCAAACACAAGTCCGATTTCGGCAAATTCCTTCTGAGTTCCGGCAAGTTCTACGGGGACCAGGAGAAGGATAAAGGTGAGAGCCAGGGGTGCCTCGATCTAGAACTTCCTGGCACAGACTATTTATTCTCTAGGAGTGGGGCAGGTGGAGGAAGGAAGAAGGGAGTCTTTTGTGTTCCCGGAGGTCTAGGGTCCCCAAGGGTCAGAGCCCAACGGCGATCCCACTCTCTTGTTCCATCACAGGTCTACAGACGAGTCAGGATGCCCGCTTTTATGCCTTGTCGGCCAGATTCGAACCTTTCAGCAATAAGGGCCAGACGCTGGTGGTACAGTTCACGGTGAAGCACGAGCAGAACATTGACTGTGGGGGTGGTTATGTGAAGCTGTTTCCTGATAACTTGGACCAGACTGACATGCACGGTGACTCAGAATACAACATCATGTTCGGTGAGGGGCTGTGCAGTGGTACTAACTCTGCATTGGTTGGAGGGTAGGGAGACAGAGGCCCAGTTGGTTTTTTGTTTTGTTTTTGTAGTTCATGTTGGCCTTGAACTCACTGTGTACCTTAGGCTGGCTTCAAACTCTCATTGATCCTCCTGCCTCAACCTCCCCAGTGCTGAGATTACAGGCATACATCAAACATGCAGGGCCCCTAGGTCCTTATAACCTGGGAAAGTCTTGAAATCATAGAAGACACCTAAATAATCACGGGTTTCTTTTTAATGGGACTGCTAATGGGCCATTGCGATCAGGTAGCAGAAATTGATTGCATTATAGTTGAAGGTGCAAACTGTATGATTTTGCCTAGATATTTCCTGATTCTATAAACACGGATAATGAATTGTAGCAAGCAGGGTGTTTTTTGTTTTGTTTTTGGTACTGGGGATTGAACTCCGGACCTTGTGCTTTCAAGGCAGGCAGTGGAACCCCTGAGCTAAATATCCAGACTTTTTTTTTTTTTAATTGAGGCTTCAGCTGTAAAGACAACCAGAGACTCATCTTAGAGCCTGACAGACCTGAGTTTAAGGACAGGGGTGGGGCCTCCCAGCAGTGGGCAGTCTGTGATTCTTCATGGGATCTGCTTTCTACCAGGTCCAGACATATGTGGTCCTGGCACCAAGAAGGTTCATGTCATTTTCAACTACAAGGGCAAGAATGTGCTGATCAACAAGGACATCCGGTGTAAGGTGTGCCTGGAAGTGTGCCTTTGGGTGGCTCTTTGAGGAAGCCAAGAGGGTAGCATGGTGGGCGGGGCCACTCACTTAGGGTCCTCTTTAGGATGATGAATTCACACACCTGTACACGCTGATTGTGCGACCTGATAACACATACGAAGTGAAGATTGACAATAGTCAAGTGGAGTCAGGCTCCTTGGAGGATGATTGGGACTTCCTGCCTCCCAAGAAGATAAAGGATCCCAATGCTGCCAAGCCAGATGACTGGGATGAACGAGCTAAGATTGATGACCCCACGGACTCCAAGCCAGAGGTTGGTTCTTAGGCAGGGGCTCTCCCTGCCACTTTTGAGAGCACAGAAAACTGGGCCTCACTGATCTCTTCATTCCCTAGGACTGGGATAAGCCCGAGCACATCCCTGACCCTGATGCCAAGAAGCCTGAGGACTGGGATGAAGAGATGGATGGGGAATGGGAACCACCAGTGATTCAGAACCCTGAATACAAGGTGAGCCTGGGGCCTGTGGTGTAGCTTAGAGTTCAGGGGACTGCCCAGAATTGGATCTTCACCCCAAAAACTAGATGAGCTTGAGGTCAGAGCAGTGGTTCACAGTGGGTAGTACACCCCCTTTTACTCACCTTTTGGCTCCTTTTTGCAGGGCGAGTGGAAGCCACGACAAATTGACAATCCGGATTACAAGGGCACCTGGATCCACCCAGAAGTCGACAACCCTGAGTACTCCCCAGATGCCAACATCTATGCCTATGATAACTTTGCTGTTCTGGGCCTAGATCTCTGGCAGGTGAGATGTGGAGGAAGAAGGGTCTGAAGTCAGGTGGTCAGGCAATCAGAGGAAGGGAACAAGCATAGCACTCATCCCCAGGCAGGTCTGACCCCACAGTGGTACATTTTCTGAAGCAGTCTCTGTGTCTGGGGAGCCCTCACAGCACCCTCTGAGGGTCTACTTTTTGTCACTTCTTTTTCATGTTTTTGTTGTTTTATGTTTTGGTACTGGGGATCAAACTCAGGTCCTTGTGTTTGTGAGGCAGGCAGCGGAACCACTGAGCTAAATCCCCGGCCCTTGTTCTTTGTTTTTTGAGGCAGGACCTCACTATGTAGTCCAGGCTGGCCTTGAACTCACGGTGATCCTTCTGTCCCAGTCTCTCTCACCAGAGTGCTGGAATGACAGGTGTGTGCCACCATGCCTAGCTCTATGTGGTTTCAAGTGCTTATGCAAATTAATTCATTTCACTACAGCTGGCCCTATTAGGAACCTGGTTGGGGGGTTGGGGTATAGATACCTCAGTGGTGGATGTTTGTAGCATGCAAGATCTTGGTTTTGATATCCAACACAACAAAAGTCACACGGGATGAATTTTTGTCAATGAAACTTTTCAGCAAACACAGTTGTAGCATACATCCTCAGTAGCTGAAAAATACCTGAATAAGGAGGTGAACCCCAATTTTACAGGTGAAGAAACTGAGGTGCAGAGAAGTAAAGATAGTCATCCAGTCGATGGCCAGACCCAGGGTGTGGTGGTTATAGGAACACAGGCGTACCCCTGTCCAAAGCCAGGACTGTGGGCTGTTGCTTCTAACCATCTCTTCCTTCCGATCACCTCCAGGTCAAATCTGGCACCATCTTCGACAACTTTCTCATCACCAACGATGAGGCATACGCAGAAGAGTTCGGCAACGAGACGTGGGGCGTCACGAAGGTGGGGCTGGGCCCAGTTCTGATCTGGGGGGTTGGGCAGGACTGCGGTCAGGAGCCAGGCTGTGCTATGGGGGGCACTCTGCTTGCAGGCTGCAGAGAAGAAGATGAAGGACAAACAGGATGAGGAACAGAGACTTAAGGAAGAAGAAGAGGACAAGAAGCGCAAGGAGGAGGAAGAAGCGGAAGACAAGGACGAAGAGGAGGACAAAGATGAGGATGAAGAGGATGAGGAGGACAAGGAAGAGGAGGAAGAGGAAGATGCTGCTGGCCAGGCCAAGGATGAGCTGTAGAGGCCATGCCGCCCCTCCTCCAGGGCTGGACTGAGGCCTCAGCGCCCCCCGCTGCAGAGCTGGCCGCGCCAAATAATGTCTCTATGAGACCCAAGAACTTTCATTTTTTTCCAGGCGGGTTCAGATTTGGGGTGGATTTTGGCTTTGTGTCCCCCGCCTTTTTTTTTTTTTTTTTTTTTTTTAAAAAATTTTTTTTTTTTTTTTTTTTTCCCCCCCCATTGAGACAAGGCCATTGTTCTGTTCAATGTGTCGTGTTCCCTCACTGTCCCCATGAG